CAGTGCTATAGACCGAGAGCCCAGGGCAACCCTGATCATATCGGTGCTTCTGGAGGTCAGTTTAGCAGTAAATAATAAAAAATCTTTAAAACTTTGAACAAGCAATTTCACTTGGTAATTATTAAAGGTGTGTGCAAAAATTTGCCTACAAAGGAATACTACTGTGTTTCCCCGAAAATAAGACAGGAACTTATATTTATTTTTCCTCAAGAAGACACCCTAGGGCTTATTTTCAGGGGATGTGTTGTTTTCTCCTCAATGCCTTAGCTTGCAGCATGCACAGGATGGCTGGGTCCTTACAGGGGGAGCCGACCTTGTTGGTGGGGCTGCCGGCACCTTTCCAGTCACCTCTGGGATAGTAGCTGTCATGATGGGGCAGATGAGAAGGGCTGCTCATCTTTTTTACCACTCCACGATGAAATGCATGGGTTGTGCAGATGCGCTGCGTAGCCACGCCCATCACTAGGTCTTATTTTCGGGGTAGGGCTTATGTTGCACAAATGCTTAGAAACCCTGCTAGGGCTTATTTTATGGGTAGGTCTTATTTTTGGGGAAACATGGTATGTAGCTGTTAAAAATAGGTCTCAACGAATACTTATTGGTATGGAGAGTTGTTTGAGAAATAGTAAATAAGAAAGGAAGGTTACAAAGCTGTGTCACAATATGCTCCTTTTAAAAAAGTGTGTGATGTAGTTATGTACCCAACAGGAAGGCATGTATAGTCACATGTCACTTAACGATGAAAATATGTTCTGAGAAGTTTTGTCACCATGCAAACATCATAGAGTGTACTTACACAAATCTACATGGTATAGCCTACTGTACACCATCCTAGCCTATGTGGTATAGCCTATTGCTCCTAGTCTGCTAACCTGTACAGCATGTTACTGTATTGAACACTATAGGCAACAGTAACACAATGGTAAGTATTTGTATATCTGAACATAGAAAAGGTACAGTAAAGATACAGTATTATAATCTTATGGGACCAGTGTTCTGTGTGGTCCATTGTTGACCAAAGCGACATTATGTGGCACATGACTGTATTTGTACACCAAAAACCTGAACAAGAATGTTCATAGCAGGCTAAGGTGGGAGGATTGCTTGAGGCCAGGGGTTTGAGACCAGCCTGGGCAACATAGTGAGACCCTGTCTCTACAGAAAAATTCAAAAATTAGCTGAGCGTGGTGGTGCATGCCTGTAAAGTCTCAGCAATTTGGGAGGCTGAGGCAGGAGAATGGCTTGAGCCCAGGAGTTCGAGGTTACAGTAGGCTACAGTGGCATCATTGCAGTCTAGCCTGGGCAACAGAGTGAAACTCTGTTGCTAAAATAAAAAATAAAAATAAAAATAAATACAAATATATTTATCATTTTTTAAATGATGTTTTAAAAAAAGATAAATTATGATTTCATTTACAGCAAAGTTGGTCTATGCTATTGGAAGTCAGATTTTTTTTAACTTCTAGTCATTTTTAAAAATTGTGGTAAAATCTACTAACACAAAATTTACTACTTTAACCATTTTATTTTTTTTTTTATTTATTTTTTTTTTTTGAGACAGAGACTCTCTCACTCTGTTTCTATTTCTGCTAGAGTGCCGTGGCGTCAGCCTTGCTCACAGCAACCTCAAACTCCTGGGCTCAAGCAATCCTTCTGCCTCAGCCTCCCAAGTAGCTGGGACTACAGGCATGTGCCACCATGCCTGGCTGATTTTTTCTATATATTTTTAGTTGTCCAATTAATTTCTTTCTATTTTCTAGTAGAGAAGAGGTCTCGATCTTGCTCAGGCTGGTTTCGAACTCTTGAGTGATCCGCCTGCCTCAGCTTCCCAGAGTGCTAGGATTACAGGCGTGAGCCACCACGCCCGGCCTAACCATTTTAAATTGTACAATTCAGTGACATTCAACACATTCAAACTGTTGTGTAACCATCACACTTTTTCGTTTAGAAATTTCCATAGTCACTCCCCATTCCTCCCTCCCCATGATGTTACTTTTGAAGAGGAGGGAAGAGCAACGGGGAGGGACATGAAGGGCTTCTGCATATTGATTATGTTTGTTCCTTTAAAAAAAAAATCTGGTTAGGGATTATGTGGCTGGGTTTATGTTGTGAAAATTTGTCTAGCTGTACACTTATAATATATATGCTTTCCTGTGTGAATGTTATATCTAAGTACATACTGATAAATTTGGAAATGTGTATTTGTATTTTTTTGCTAACAGTGATTTTTTTTCCTGGGAGATAGGATTATGAATCTATTTTGTACTTGCTTTGTTTTGCTAACTGGTTTTCCAATTGGTCATGTTAGTTTGGTCATAAAAATTTTAAATTTAATTTAAAACATCTTAAATAGGCCGGGCGCGGTGGCTCACGCTTGTAATCCTAGCACTCTGGGAGGCCGAGGCGGCGGGCGGATTGCTCAAGGTCAGGAGTTCAAAACCAGCCTGAGCGAGACCCGTCTTACTATAAAAAAAAAAGAAAGAAATTAATTGGCCAACTGAATATATATATATTATATATATTATATATATATATATAACTTACAATGTGGGCTCGTGCCTGTAGTCCCAGCAACTTGGAGGCTGAGGCAGTAGGATTGCTTAAGCCCAGGAGTTTGAGGTTGCTGTGAGCTAGGCTGACGCCATGGCACTCACTCTAACCTAGGCAAGAAAGCGAGTCTCTGTCTCAAAAAAATAAATAAATAAAAAATAAAACATCTTAAATAAAGGCCAACATTGATTTTTAAGCCTTTCAAGAGAAAATATTCCTTACATTTGGAAGCAATGGGAGTGTCCCACCAAAACTTTATGCAGTTACTATTTAGCTTCAGGATCGAAACTTCTATATCAATACCCAGTGTGGTTTTGGACTTGTTCTCTCCCCTCGACCTCTGCCTTTCTTCGTGGTGAGTATGGAAGGAGTCTATGAGGGAGATGTGAAGAGGGAGGGTGTTTCAGCTCTCCTTGGACACTGGGTGGTTGTGCCCAGAGGACTCACTCCTGCCAGGCTGGAAGTAAACTTGAAGTAGAAGCTGTGGAGTTTGAGAAGAAAAGATAGAAAGGTAGACTGGCCTGAAAAGAGCAGGAAACAACCAGAGGCTATACAAGCAAATGACCCCTCAGTCCCTCATTCCAGAAACAAGCAACCATTCCAGAAAGAGATTTTCATAAGAGAAGACTTTCACAGCCTTCCTTATCACCCTGCATCCACCAAACTCCCTGTCCCTCTCAAGAGTTTGGAATGTCTTTAAGACATCCTTGTCTCATTGACTTTTTCACTTTCAAGTCTCAATGCCCATCTCCATCCCTTTTAGGCCTTCAAGTGCCATTAAGCTCTCATTCCTCTGTGCTTCCATGACATCTTGTTTTTATCTCTACTAGACCAGCCACCACATTGTATAATAATTTGCTGCCAAATTGTGATCTCCTTAATAGCTGAGACTAAGTCTTTTTATTTTTATTTTTATTTTTATTTTATTTTATTTTATTTTTTTAGACACTTCTTAGAAGTCAAAGACTAAGTCTTTTTGATCACCACATCCTCAACACCTATGTAACTCCTGGGAAATAGTAGATCCCCAACAAATCTTGAGAGCTTGTTTGGAGGTACAAGCAGGAGAGCACAGCTACCCTATATACCCTTGACTGAAGAACAGTCCTCCTATATCGGGGAAGGTCGTCCTCTTCCACCGAGCATGCACCTTCAGGAGGGACACACATGGAGCAGTGAGGGAGGAAGGGGACACCTGCCTGGCCAGCCAGGTAAACTGAATCAACTCTGGCGATCAATGGGGCAACAGATGTCACAGCCAGATCGCCTTCACATCCAAATCTTGATCTAAATTGTTGAAAGGGGGTCTTCTTCCCACCTTTGACCTTTTCCCTAAGTGGAGGGACAGCACACATTCCTTTCTTTTTTCTCTTTCTTTCTTTCTTTCTTTCTTTCTTTCTTTCTTTCTGACAGAGTCTCACTCTGTTGCACTGGCTAGAGTGCTGTGGCATCAGCCTAGCTCACAGCAACCTCCAACTCCTGGGCTCAAGCAATCCTTCTGCCTCAGCCTCCCGAGAAGCTGGGACTACAAGCATGAGCCACCATGCCCGGCTTATTTTTTCTATATATATTTTTTAGCCGGCCAATTAATATGTGTTTTTTTAGTAGAGACAGGGTCTCGCTCTTGCTCAGGCTGGTTTCAAACTCCTGAGCTTGAGCGATCCGCCTGCCTCGGCCTCCCAGAGTGCTAGGATTACAGGCGTGAGCCACCGCGCCCGGCCCCTTTCCTTAAGGCTTTTATTTTCCACTCCTTTCCTTGATTCCAAGATTTCTTTAATTCTTAAGAGATTATCATATGTCTACACATGCACATGCCCTGGAGCTAGTGGTGCAGAGTCATGCCCATTTCCATGTGCATTATATGGGCCCGTAGTCATCTTACTTCCTCTCTAGTCTTTTTCTGGAACTTATCCTGTTTCTTCCCCTTAATTCCATGACTTGGGGACTTGTTAAATAGCTGAACTTTTAGAGAGGAATTTTGCCCTCCACATTAAAAGATGTCAGTCCTATACTAGCCCTTTTCCTTACTTGTTGAGCCCTTATGATATGCAGGGTACTATACTGGTTCATAATCTAGTAGGGGAGGAAGCCACTACCTTAGATGTATTCATTTATTCATTGGACATGCTCCTGAAACATGTAACAGGGCACCTGACCTAGTCTTTGGTCAGGCACAGCTTCCTTGAGGAACTGACATTCCTGTCAAATGCTCAAAGGGAACTATGGGCCCAAGCAATCCTCCTGCTGACTCGGCCTCCTGAGTAGCTGGGACTACAGGTGTGTGCCACCATGACCAGCTACTTTTCTTTTCTTTCTTTTTTCTCTTCTCTTCTCTTCTCTTCTCTTCTCTTCTCTTCTCTTCTCTTCTCTTCTCTTCTCTTCTCTTCTCTTCTCTTCTCTTCTCATTTCTTTTCTTGAGACAGGGTCTCCCTATGTTGCCTATACTGGTCTTGAACTCTTGGCCTCAAGTGATCCTTTCACTTCCGCCTCCCAAAATGCTAGGATTATAGGCATGAGCTACCATGGCCAGATAGAGCCTTTCTATATGATTTCTGTCTGCTATAGGCAGAAATCTTTTGGTTGAAAGTGACAACAAACCTAGTTAAGAAAAAAGAGGGGCCTTTATTGGCTCAGCAGCTGAAAGTGCAGGGATCTTGCTCTCCTTTGTGTTAGCTTCATTCTTGGGCAGGCCTCTGTGAAAGGGGCCCTTGGTCTCCCTGGTCATACAGAAGCCCACAACTGGTGTGGAAGAGAATGGGGATGAGAAAGGCTAATTGATCAGGGCTGCTTATCTTTCCACACTTCAAGACCATCAAGGTTACCTTCTTTTCAGGCAAATTCTAGATCTCTTCAGCTTAGACCCACTATGGGAGGGCAGGAAGCTTGGCCTTTTAGGGACTTCATGGAGGTAGAAAAGGGCACAAGTGAGGGGACTCTGTTCCAAGACTCAAAAACTATTTGCTTTCTTAAAATAGCAAACCCAGAGCCCTCTGTCTTTTTCTCTAAGGAGCTAAAATGCATTTTCTCTGCTGCATCCTCAGCTTTCCAGGGGAGCAGGATCATTTGGTTTGGTAAGAGAAAAAAGGAGGGCGGGAACCCGGGAAACTCCTCCCGTCTCCCGCCCCCGCATCCTGGCCTCTGGCCCTGTGTGCAAAGCAGGCCCTGACCTACTTGTCTTACTCCTGCTGCTTCTTCCCGCTCGGCCTCCTGCCCCTTCTCGGACCCCTTCAGATCCTGCCCAACTCCACGGCTTGGGAACTCCTCCACCGTCCCGTAGAAGGACAGCACTTCTTCCACCTCCCACACATCCTAGCTAGGCAGGACCAGTCAAAGAGTATCCCACTCAGGGACCCCCTTTTTTTCCCCTGGGAATCAGCGTTTCCGCCTCCGGGGCGGAGACTCCTCCCCTCATCGTCCCAATTGTATTCCTTGGAAGAGCAGCCGGAAAAGCCTCCGCCTGCTCAAAGCAGGGTAAGCGAGAAGCTGGTTCTCCCCGCTCCTTGAGCCGCAGGAACCGCCCGGCGGTCCGCACCACTTGGGCCCCGCTCCCGGCAGGCGCGGACGGCGCGGGCGCGGCTTCAGCACCAGGGACAGCGCCCCGCCCGCGGCCCTCCCGCCAGCGGCGCGCTCCGGCCGGTGTAGGCAAGGCAGCAAGCTATGCCCGCGGCATGGCCCGGCGCTCCAGCCCCATGGCGCTGCTCCTTAGCTTCGTCTTCCTCGGGCTGTGCTCAGGTAAGGACGATCGCCAGCTAGGTTCGCCTACCCCAGCCAACGGGCCCAAGACTCTCCACGCCCTGACTCACTCCTGCTAGGCCAGAAGGTGGAAGGCAAGGATTCCCTAGAGGTGGAGGAGTCTGCTGGGGGTTAGAAGAGAGACAGAGACCCTCAAGATTGCAAGGAGCACCTAGGAGACTGAACTGGGAGGGGGACATACCCAAAGGAGTAAGTGATGCAAGGAAGAGGTGGGAACAGCCAGTGGTGGTGGGGGAGTGTCCGCACAGAGAGGCAGGAGGAAGGGGATGTCCCCGGGCTTTCTGGGATGGCAGGGAGGCCAACTCTGATGACACTGAGATGCCACCTGACTTGTTGTGAAATATTATCTCAAGAAATCTACCTGGTTTAGCACCCCATTTCCCATCCCCTATATTGGGCAAGTCAGGAAGGGGAGAGAACTGAATTCTCAACCCGCTTATATGGTAGGACAGGAGACTAGGAAGGGAAGACCTCTGCCAGGCTGACTAGGAAGGAGCTCTCTGAGGAAGTGGGGAGGGGTGTGTTAATGCAAAGTTGTAGAAAGGGGTGGAGTGTGTGGAGGGGCAGTTGCAAAGGGAATGGACAACTGAATGAGCTTTCCACACCGGCGTGCCATTGCATGGGGGGGCGCTCCTGTATGTATAGAACTTGGGACTAAATATATGCCCTGACCCACAGCTTAGGCAGCCCAGCTATCCTACTCCAACCCACTGCCTTTGGGGTGGGGTGGGGGATGGTGTCATGACCTCAGTCACATGTGGAGGCACACAGTGTTATTTGCACACATAGATGGGCACTCATTGAGGAGAAAGGCTGTGTGGTGGGACACCAATTACTGTTTCCCTTTCTCCACCCTCCAAAACACCCTTTCAATCATAAGTATTTTCTGTGGAAGCCATGGAAGCAGAAGTCTCAAACCACCCTCTGAGACCTTGGGGGAAGGGCAGGTCTCCAAAAATCCTTGCAGAGTAGGTTATTAGTCTGGAGGCATCTCTGGAATTCTTGGTTAGTCTTCTCAGATAGGGGCTTCTCTATGAGGACCTTAATCTGGGGCTTCCTTGGGGGTACCTAAGCATTTGCAGTATCCTTAGGGATGGAGCAGTGAGAAGCTGGTGGTGGGGTCTGGATTATCCTACTTGCCTGGGCTGGGTGGGATCCTGGGTGGGTCTTCCTTGCCTTCTTATTTCCTATCCTTCTCTTGCCCAGGGGTGTGGGGTACAGATACAGAGGAGCGGCTGGTGGAGCATCTTCTGGATCCTTCCCGCTACAATAAGCTTATCCGCCCAGCCACCAATGGCTCTGAGCTGGTGACAGTACAACTTATGGTATCACTGGCCCAGCTCATCAGTGTGGTGAGTGGGGGTCCCAGACTCTTTGCCTAGCTGCTGAAGTCATCCCAGCCAGAATGTATTTATGTCTGTGCTTACTCCTCTGGTGTTTCCAAGGCTAGGGGTGGTGTGAGAGGGACCCTGGGTGATGGCAATGGGCCCATAGGCTGGGGGCCTTCTCAGCAGCTTCTCTTCTTCCCCATAGCATGAGCGGGAGCAGATCATGACTACCAATGTCTGGCTGACCCAGGTAAGTGCTCTTCCCACCAACACCCCTGGCTTTCTCTTCTCTCCTTTTTATTTATTTATTTATTTTTGCGCATACCTTTTTGTTTCTCAATCTCCTCAAAAGAGGCAGAAAGGTATAGACTTTGGAGTCCTAAATAACTAGGTTTCAATCTTGGTTCTGCCACTCTGTGGCAGAAATCACCAGCTTGTAACTTTAAGCATTTTAAACTCTGCAAGATTCTTCATTTGTAAAAGGCAGGTTGTGATACTGTACATTGGTCTACCTGTGCAAATTAAATGAGAAAGTATTGTATGAGCCACACTTGGTGGGCAGATAAGTCACTGTGGGGAGGAGGCTGGCTTTTTAAAAGCTTCCTCAAGCCATATGGGGACCCTCTTGCCCCTTTCCTTGACCTCGAGGGCAGAAGTTGGCACTGCCTCCCTCTCTCCTTTTCCCAGGAGTGGGAGGATTATCGCCTCACTTGGAAGCCTGAGGAGTTCGACAATATGAAGAAAGTTCGGCTCCCTTCCAAACACATCTGGCTCCCAGATGTGGTCCTGTACAACAAGTAGGTGACCCTGGAGTAATGGGAACATTAGAGGAGACCATGGAAATGCTCAGAAAGGAAAGGAGTCTTGGAGAAAATAAGAGGAGAGAAAATAAGAGAAGCTAGCTTATGCTGTGGGAGGGAAGGGACTTTTAGTAGGCAAATATGCAGTCACGATCCAGACAGACAGATTAGACCAGTTAGGTATAGTGTGGACAACCAAGGTGACTTAGGCCATGACCAGCCCCCTCCCAGCCAACTAGGACTCCCAGTATATATTTGGTGCTGCAGTAGGGATAGAAACAAGAATTGACAGTTCACAGTGCCTAAACTGATTCAAGAATAGGCTTTCCCAGAAGCCTGGGTAGGATCAAAGGACCCTGAGGTCCCAGTTTCTCCTCCGAGTCCTATCCTATCTTCTGCAATAATCCCTCTCACCTCTAAGGTACAAAACTACCTCCCTCAACTAGTGGGACCATGCCCTGCTCCCACCCATCCCTGTGTCCCCCACCTCACCATTGTTTGAGGCTTCTCACTCTGGCCTCCCCAGCTTCCCAAACTTCCCTACTCTCATGAGTAGCAACCAGCCTATACAATGTGTGACAAGTAGCAGGTGTGTCCCCTCCCTCTTTCCACGCTCTTGTACCTCTGAGAGGCTACATAGGCCTCCTGACCAGGGCACTTCTTCCGCCACTAACCCCCTCCCCACATCCCCTTCTTGATCAGTTCCCGCTCCACCTCTCTGTGCTCCTGGGTGGCCACTTCCCCTCCTCACACCTCCCTGTGCTTCTCCTCCCACTCAGGGCTGGGTCGGTGGGTGGGGATGAAGGAATGCTTAGGACAGGACTGACCGTGCCCTTCCTTTGGCAGTGCTGATGGCATGTACGAGGTGTCCTTCTATTCCAACGCCGTGGTCTCCTATGATGGCAGCATCTTCTGGCTGCCCCCGGCCATCTACAAGAGTGCGTGCAAGATTGAAGTAAAGCACTTCCCGTTTGACCAGCAGAACTGCACCATGAAGTTCCGCTCATGGACGTACGACCGCACTGAGATCGACCTGGTGCTCAAGAGTGATGTGGCCAGCCTGGACGACTTCACGCCCAGTGGTGAGTGGGACATTGTGGCGCTGCCTGGCCGGCGCAACGAGAACCCTGACGACTCCACGTACGTGGACATCACGTATGACTTCATCATTCGCCGCAAGCCGCTCTTCTACACCATCAATCTCATCATCCCCTGCGTGCTGATCACCTCGCTGGCCATCCTCGTCTTCTACCTGCCTTCCGACTGTGGTGAGAAGATGACGCTGTGCATCTCCGTGCTGCTGGCGCTCACGGTCTTCCTGCTGCTCATCTCCAAGATCGTGCCTCCCACCTCCCTTGATGTGCCACTCGTCGGCAAGTATCTCATGTTCACCATGGTACTTGTCACCTTCTCCATCGTCACCAGCGTGTGCGTGCTCAACGTGCACCACCGCTCGCCCACCACACACACCATGGCGCCCTGGGTGAAGGTCGTCTTCCTGGAGAAGCTGCCCACGCTGCTCTTCATGCAGCAGCCGCGCCACCACTGCGCCCGCCAGCGCCTGCGCCTGCGGCGTCGCCAGCGTGAGCGTGAGGGTGCTGGCGCCTTCCTCTTCCGAGAAGCCCCCGGGGCCGACTCCTGCACGTGCTTTGTCAACCGTGCGTCGGTCCAGGGCTTGGCAGGGGCCTTCGGGGCCGAGCCTGCCCCTGCGGCTGGCCTGGGGCGCTCGGGGGGCCTGTGTAGCTGTGGCCTCCGGGAGGCGGTGGACGGCGTGCGCTTCATTGCGGACCACATGCGGAGCGAGGACGAAGACCAGAGCGTGAGTGCGGCGGGCTGGCCCTGGGCGTGAGATTCGGGCTCCGCCAGGGCCTGGGTGTCTGGAAAGCAGCGGCGGCATCCGTGGCATGCGAGGCTAACAGGGTGGGGGACGGGAATCAGGCCTGTGTAGTGGGCCTGGCGCTGGCTTCGCGTCCATGGCGTGCGAGGCTAACAGGGTGGGGGACGGGAATCAGGCCTGTGTAGTGGGCCTGGCGCTGGCTTCGCGTCCATGGCGTGCGAGGCTAACAGGGTGGGGGATGGGAGTCAGGCCTGTGTAGTGGGCCTGGCGCTGGCTTCGGTTCTCAGTTGGTTTCCATGAGGCTGCGCCGCCTGAATTGGAGTTGGTAGAGGATGACCTTGCGGCTCCCTGAGGACTAGTACCCAGGCTGAAATGCCTCAGCTGGGGCATCAGTACGTGGGGCGTGCGGCTGGAACTCGAGGAAGCCCTTTAGGGTTTGCAGCCAGCCTGTGGCCGTGTCCCCTAGAGTCCCTCCCCGCTGCTTGCATTTCCACGTCCAAATTGTTAATCTGCAGCTCTTACCACAAACAGAAATGAGTCCTTTGTGTGCCCCACAAGGTGTGGGAGTGGGAGCAAAATTGAGGACAGTAGGGGTGTGTGTGTGTATGAAGGGGAGGTGGCCGGGTTAAGAGATTCCATGAGCCTGCTTAGCAGAGAGGACAGAGTCCCAAATCAATATCCCTTTTCTGCACTTCTGAGTCCCAGGGGACATCCTCGTGAAATATTTATGGAGATGGAGGCGGGTAAAGGCTAGGCTCCCTAGACCCATCCTCCACTTTCTGCACACTGGGCTTCTGGTTTTTTCTATAGCAGCTTAGAATAAACTCCTTGAGACTGGGCCAGGAGCTGGGGGAGGTATGATGAGTGGACATCCCCCCACTTTGGGCAGCAGCTGGCCCCACCCTGTGGTCAGCCTCCTGGTACCTGGCTGGTTCCAGGCTGAGGCTCAGCTGTTGCCATGGTGACTGGCTGGGTTTCCTCCAGGACCCAGCCATTCAGGTTGGGGGATGAGGCTGGGGGCACTGCAGTTTGTGTGGGCCAAGGGCTTCAGAGATCTGTTTTCCTGGATGGCAGGAAATGGGGTTGGAGTTGAAGCTTGGGCCAGAGAGAGTCTTACAGTCCTGATGGAGGAAGAGGGGAGCCTCAGAGTCAGCTGAGGCCCAGTGGGAGTCACCAGTGTAGGGCTCAGCTGGCTGCAGTTAACTGTCTCGCCTCTCCTGCTGCAGTCTACTTGTTGTGCATTTACCTAGCTAGGTGCTGAGGATGCAGTGACCTATTTGGATGCTTCAAAGGCACCTCACACTCAACATGTCCCAAACTGAGTCCTTGATCTACATCCCCCCCACAAGCTTGCTCCTCCCCCAGTTTCCTCATCCTCTAGTGCATGGCACCACCATTCACCAGGCCAAAGCCCTGGAGTGATCCTTGACTCCATTCTTTCTCGCTCACCCCCCCCCCACCATCCATGTCATCAGAAGTCCTGTCCTGTGAGCATAAACTCCAAAATAATCCTCAACTTCATCCTTTCCCACCATCTAACACCCTTGTTCTAGGCCACCATCAGCTCTTGCCTGGACAAGGGCAGAGTCTGCTAATAGTCTCCCTGATTTAGCTCCTGTGTTCCTGCGTCCAAATAGACGATGTCTCCCCTCCACCTGTGCCTTTTCCCCCTTGCCCAGGTCACTGGATTGTCTGCTCGACTGTGTTAAGCAGGCCAAGCTCTTTCTTGCCTCAGGACCTTTGCACTTATGGGTCTCTCTGCCTGGCATGCCCTTCTTTTTTTTCCTTTTAAAAACTATTACTGTTGGCCAGGTGCGGTGGCTCATGCCTGTAATCCTAGACCTCTGGGAGGCCGAGGCGGGCAGATCGTCTGAGCTCAGGAGTTTGAGACCAGTCTGAGCAAGAACAAGGCCCTGTCTCTACTAAAAAAATAGAAAGAAATTAGCTGGACAACTAAAAATACATATATAAAATTAGTGGGGCATGGTGGCACATGCCTGTAGTCCCAGCTACTCAGGAGGCTGAGGCAGAAGGATCGCATAAGCCCAGGAGTTGGAGGTTGCTGTGAGCTAGGCTGATGCCGTGACACTCTAGCCTGGGTAACAAAGTGAGACTCTGTCTCAATATATATATATATATATATATTACTATTACTAATTTTTGCTCTACTGCTTAAAAGTAAGCTGCAGACACTGTGATCCTTTATCCCAAATACTTTAGCATGCTTCTCCTAAGAACAGCTTTAGTGATCAAATTCAGGAAATTTAGCATCAATTCCTTTATCTGATATCAAGGCCGCATTCAGATTTTTCCAGTTGTCTCAGTAATGTCCTTTGTAGCATCACCTCCCCACACCCAACCCAAGCCAGGATCTCAGATTGCCTTTAGTTGTCATGTCTTTTCAGTTTCTTTCACTCTGGAGCCGTTTCTCGCTTTCTCTTTCGTGGCATACACATTTTTAAAGGGTGCGCGCTGGTTGAATGACCCCTCAGTTTGGGTTTAATCGTTTTTTTCTTCAGCTTATTCCTGACACAGCTGGTTCCCCCTCACTCAGCAGATCTTGGCTTGAATGTCATTTCCTCAAAGAGGCTTGCCCAGACCACACTCTAAATTATATATTTTCCTCCCTTTCTCCATGCCCAGCCCTTTATTTCCCACACAGTATGTAATTTTAAATTCTTGCTTATTTTTGTCTCCCTCTCTCCTTCAGTAGACTATAAACTTCCAGGTGCGTTTGTCTTGCCCAGTTGCATCCCAGTGCCTAGCATGGTGCCAGGTATACAGTAGGCACAGCTGTGACACAAGTGCATGATTATTCAGCTACTGACTAAATGAAGGTGCACAGTCACCTTCTCTGCACCCGCTGAGCTGACCAGGCTCCAGATAAACATGCGGACAAGGGCCCAGGCATAGGCTGCAGTGGAGCAGCTCTGAGCAAAGGCAGGCCCGGTGTGCAAACCCTGTAACCGGCTCTCAAACCACAGTGTTTTTTGTTTTTAAACAAGATCTTGTTTTGCTGCACAGGTTAGAGTGCAGTGGCATCGTCTGAGCTCACTGCAACCTTAAACTCCAGGGCTCAAGCAATCCTTCAGCCTCTCAAGTAGCTGGGACTACAGGCATGCGCCACCACTCCTGGCTAATTTTCTTATTGTTTGTAGAGATGGGGTCTTGCTATGTTGCTCAGGCTGGTCTCGAACTCCTTGGGATCAAGCAATCCTCCCATCCTGGCCTTCCAGAGTGCTGGGATTATAGGTGTGAGCCACTGAACCCAGCCAGTATTATCCTTTTGACTGATTTGTTCACATCTGGAACCCAGTCGTCAACCTCTGGGGCCTCTGTGCTTCAGGCGATGCTGTTGGACGGGGCTGCTGAGGCAGCCGTTGACTCCCTAACTCAGCACCCATTTTCGGGGCACCCTGTTCCAGATGCTGGGATTGCAAAGATGAATCAGACAGGGTCGCTGTGGTTTAGGAGCTTGTAGCTTAGTGGCAGGACAGGCACGCAAGTTGAAACAATACAGTACAGTAAAAATACTGTGATGGAGATGCGTAAACAGTGCTGAGGGGACCCGGGGGGACAGTGCTTCACTCTGATCTGGGGGTCAGGGAATCCCTCACAGAGAAGGTGATGTTTGATTTGGGCTTTGAAGGATGCGAAGGAGAAAGGTGGAGAAAGGGAGGTCAGAATTCCCAGCCACAAAGGAAACCCACAAGCACAGACGCCTGAGAGGACACGTTGGGGTTTGGTAAGTCTGGGTTATAGGGCAGGAAAAGATAAGCTCGTATTTGTCATGGTGGTGTCTTGGTTCCAAACTTGGGAGTTTGGATGGTCCCTGAAGGCAGTGAGGCCACTGGAGGCTTACAGGCTGGGCGAGATCGGAGCCCTGCTTTAGAAAGTCACGCTAAAGCCTTTCACCGAGGGAGAGGAGTAGGGTGTGTGTATGTGTGGTGGGAACCGCTTATACCCGTTCAAAGCCCATCCTGCATCATGTGACTGACACCTGGGCCTCCTTCGTCCCCAGGTGAGTGAGGACTGGAAGTACGTCGCCATGGTGATCGACCGCCTGTTCCTCTGGATCTTTGTCTTTGTCTGTGTCTTTGGCACCATCGGCATGTTCCTGCAGCCTCTCTTCCAGAACTACACCACCAGCACCTTCCTCCACCCGGACCACTCGGCTCCCAGCTCCAAGTGAGGCCGTCCCCATCTCCATGCTCCTGCGCCCCTTGCCCTCTGTCGTACGGTAGTGTTGGGCGGAGGATGGGCGAGCGTGCTGCTGTGAAGAGGGGCACTGCCCCTGCAGGTCCATCCTTTCACTCCCTCCTCCCCACACCTCCACCACACACGGCCAGCACGGACCTGGAGGTTTTGGCTGCTCTCCTTCTCTTGCACCTGCCCAGGCAGTAGTGTTGACAGTAGGGGATGAAGGCTGAGAAGTGGAGGACAGAGATGTCAGAGCCTTCCACCCAGAGGAGAGTGACGGGGATGGAGCCAAGCAGGGGACAGAACCATCTGCTGCCTCCTAGTCATGGGGGAAGGGGAGTACGGGAGGAGGGTGGGAGGACACAATGGCAGCTGAGAAGGGAGGAGCCAGAGGGAGGCCTGGGCATGACCTGACATCTGCCCCTGCTTGAGTGGACAGCAGCTGGGCTGGGTGGGCCCCTGCCCAGAGGGCTCAGCCTGGCCCTGTGGACAGACTCCTGGGGAGGCTTTCCGCTCAACCCCACAGGCCGCTGCTTCTAAGGGATCCAGAGCCCAGTCCCAGGTCCCCTTCTGCCTGATGAAGAATTCTCTGCACCTCCTAGACTTCCCTCTTCCTCCTGTGTCACTCGGGCTCAGGGTGTGGTGGGCAAGGCTGGGTGTTAGGGGAGCCTCTAAGTTCTGAGCCTTTGGGTAGCTGCTTGGAGTCTGAGGTCCAGACACTTGAACTGAGTGCGAAGTGCAAGTTCACAGGCTTTTGGAGGTGAAAAAACCTTTTACAGTCATGCAGTCCAACATGAGCCATGTTCCAGATGAAGAGACCCGGAAGGTGAGACAAGCCCGCATGGGTCTCTGACCCTTCCTCCCTGCCCTGAGATCCATCTGTCCAGTGTCTTGTTTTTCCCCATTTTGAACTGACTGGTTGCTTGAAGGAAGTAAACCTAGGCTGTTAGCTTTAAGCAGACCCAGCCTTTTGCCCACAGCAAAGCTGGGCAGGACAGGAGAGCCGGCCGTAGAGGCCAGCCAAGCAGGGGCGAATGGCCAGAACTCTGCTACACCGCACTGCTCGATTCGGTCCTTATTTGTAGCTCCATCTGGCTCTCACTCCCAACCACACCTGATCGGGTCTGAAGCAGACCTTTGGAAGGACAGGTCTGCTGTTGCCAGTGACCACTGAGAAAGCACAGCTTCAGCTTCCCGTCCTGTGGGTCCCTAGAGGCTGTGTCCTGACACTGCTCCAGGGGCCGGCTAGAGGCCACCTGGCCTGTTAGCCCAGGAGACAGACCTCTGAAGGGATCTCCTGCCCCGTCCCCTTCCCTGCCATATGACTGGCTCTGATTTGTGGTCCCAGACTGTGCTCAGTGCTGAGCCAGCAAATGGCAGGTCACAGAGGGGTCAGTCTGCCAAGTGCACCCAAGGGACCTGGCCCCACACAAGCTATTCTGTTCCCTGGAGCCCAGCTGGGACTCCTGCTTCTCTAGGTGGAGTGGAGGTGGAAGGAGACAGCCCAGGCAGAGAGCACTGAGTAGGGATCCCAAAGTTTGAGTTCTCGTCCCAGCTCTGCTACTGGCAGAGCCATCTCAAGCAAGTCCCTTTGCCTGCCAGGCCTCAGCCTCCTTGTCTATGAAATGGGGATAGTAATGCTCTCTGCATGGGTTTGCTGTGAGGATGAAGCGATGCTTGTGAAAAACTAGCACTGTACCTGGCACAGAATAGATGCTTCACGAATGTTGAGCCAAGAGTTGATTGGAACTGGTGGGAATGGGGTCACCTGACCGTCACGCCAGCCTCCCGCCCAGCCCCCACCTTTGCCCCTTCTCTTCTCTGAGCAAACCGAGTCTCCCCCAGTCGGGCAGGGACCTGGGGGAGCTTGGGAATGCCGCTGGAGGCGAACATCACAGGGACTGCTCTGGCGAGTCTGACGGGTGGGTGGGTGGGTGGGCTTCTCTCTGTGGCGCGTCCTCAGCAGAGTTTCATTCCATTTCAAGCCCTTGCCCTGGCCCTGCCTCCCTTCTGGGTCGGCCCCTTCCGACACAGGTGTGTGCTCAGGGACCCCAGGCTGCTGTCGTCCTGTACTGGCTGTGGAGGAACATCAGTGGGACGTTCAGCCGGGAGCTGCATGAGACGTGCCTCAGGGCATTTCCCCACCTGTCAAATGGGCTCACAGACAGCTGTGTTTGGTAGCAGGGGGCTCCATGTCTCTGCTCCATGGACACTTTCCTCTTCTAGAACGGAAAAATGAGAGTTGCTTGTATTGTGCCTGAACCCTCCTCAAACTCGGGCCTGGGGAAAGTGTCCTGGAACTCAAAACAGCAACGGGAAAGGAACCTTCCGTCGTAAGGGTAGGGTGCCAGCTACGAGCCTGCCCTCCTGGCTCTCCCAGGGCCTGGGCTACCATGGAGGCCCCATCAGCTGCTTCTGTGGCTGTACTTGCTTTTTACTTCCCCCAAGTTAAGTCAGCAAACAGTGCTAGAGGGGATGGTAGAAAGCAGCTTGTTCAGCTCCACTCCACAACTCATTTAACACATAAGGAAACTGAGGCCCAGAGGTTGCTGTCTGACCTTGTATAAGGCACTTAACTCTGACCTTGCTGTTCTGCGTGTGTAAAATGATGACGACAGAGCGGGCTGAGGGCTGCAGCAGGGAAGAAAGAGGTCAATGTGTGTGGAGCGGTTACTTGGGAAGTGCCATTCCCTCCATCTCTGGGTGCCTGTGGGGACCATCACAATAGGGAGGAGGGCAGAGGTGGAGGAAGGAGGGCTCCACTGCATGGGCAAGGTGTCACCATGTGTCAGGACAGAGTTGAACCCTTAAGCTTTGGAGAGCCAGTTTCTTCCACTCTTGGGTCCTGTGTCCTCTTAGCTTGGTGATGTCAGGGAAACCCCTTGCCTCCTTTCCATGGCGGGGGTGTCTCTGGAGAGAACTGGGTACCCAGCTCTGTGCTGGGCAAGGACTGGAGGGAGGCTCCAGATCTCACGAGGGAGGTGGAAAAAACTGGATTGAAACCCAGAGCAAAGTGGGTTTGGGAGGGCTGAGGGGAGGGACTGAGTTGGGATTATCTCCATCAGAGATGGCAAGGCCACAGGTGATCTGGTAACTATTTTTGTCTGAAAAGAAGGCATCTGCAGGCTCTCTGTTTTTGACTGTTGGCATTGTAGTGGGAGTAAGGCAGCTTCCTGGCAGTGAGGTATGTAATACTGGAACAGCTGGCACCAAGTTATTGAAAATGTAAAAGCAAACAAGACACAGACAGCCCCCAGATGGCGTGTTCTGCCGAAGGCTTCCTGCAGATGAAGGGCAAGGCCATTTCCCTCTAGTGGTCTTGAAATAAGGAAGGCTCTTTGGACGATTTGGGGGCTTTGGCCTTTGTCTGCATCCTCTCCAAATCCCCAGATTAGCTGCTGTTTACTAAGGGTCTGTGCTGTGCCAGTTCCCTGTCTTTATTCCTCGCAACAATCCTACAGGGAAGGGGCCCTCGTTTCACAGAAGAAAACGAGGCTCAGAGAAACCAAGTGACAGCCGCTGAGTCATGTGGGGCCTGGAACCTAAGACTTCCCCAAAGCCTGCGCTCTTGCTGTAGCTTTGAGGCAGGTGGGAGAAGAGGCTCCTTGGGTGGAAAGTAAGGGGCACTCAAGGCCTTCTCTGAGTCACTCCCCAAGCCAGAGTGGAGTTGGTTCCAGTTGTCACCCTGTTTCTAGGCAGAGCTGGGCTGGTGTCACATCCCTCACAGCCCGACTGGTGCTGGCCAGACTCCCACTCACCAACCCCGACCAGACAGAGAACAAGCGGCCACCTTTTAATATTCATCCTGGCAGGTCCAAAAGGTCAGTGTGACAGTCACATGGTTCCTCAGGGACTGTAGGTCTGGGAATCGTTAGGACACCTCACTCCCCTACCCGTGGCGCCCCCCATCTCCCACACTGCCCTTGGCCTCTCCTGTCAGCACTCCTGGAACGTTTGCACTGGTCTAGCCCACCCCAGGCCCGACTCATTAGGAACTCAAGATTCTCGTAAAGAAAGTTGTTTCCAAAGTTGTATTGTCACTCTGTTGTGTTTGGGCTTGGAGGGGGAGCCCTCATGGGCCAGGGTTGGCAAATACAGTAAAAAGGGAGAATGCTGGAGAAATCGGACTCACAAGACATTGTAAGAATCCAAAGAAAAGGTGAAAGGTAACAGTGTGCTGTTGAATTATTGGTTTGCCGCCTTATACATACACTCATCAGGTTGAAAAGAAATGGCCAAATGGGGGGGCCTGGAGTAGACAGAGCCCAGAAATCGCCCCTGGGGAGGCACCTGTGTAAGGGACTGGGCAGAGTCTCCTGGAGGCAGGGATGGCTGGGGTTTCCTCTCACGGCCCCTGCGCTCTGAGGAGTCAAAGCTACAGTCTGCGTGAGGCCAGACCTGCTCCCAGAACACTGGTTTGATCTGGGCCCCAATCCTGGAAACAACATTAAATTGTGGGCCCCCAAATGAAATGCAGGGTCACCAGCAGCTGACACGATGAGCTGAAGAAAATGCCCTGTGCTCCTGCAGGGCAGCCCTACTTCCCAGCCCACTCAGGGTGGGCGGTGGGAGGACAGTCTTGTCCCTCTGCAGACAGGGTCTGGGTACTCGCCTTAGGCTTTAAGGAAACTGTCCACTTTCTACAAGACTGGCACTACATTTCCCCCAGAAACCAGGAGCTACCTGAGAACAGAGAGGACAAAGGCACTTGAGGTTCCTGGTACATCACAGAGACATTATCTTTCACTGTCTTTAAATTAAAAACTGTTCAGTTCACCCAGCATTATTTTTCAACAGACTATGAATGATGCCATGTGGAGCTCTGGTCCTTATGTAATATGCCCTCAAAATGTGTCGCTGACCCTCCTGGCCTCAGTTGTTCCATCTGTATAATGGATGAGCAAGAAGGTTTACTGTGACTTAGCCTCACTGTTAGGTATTTTATGTCCTCTGATTATTTTTAAAAGGTTCAGGATGAGTCTTGTAGAAATTCTGTAGTAAGTTACAATGTGGAAAGAAGTGCATTCTCTTTGAAATTTAAGATGGAGAGATATTTCAGATGCCATCTATGAAGTAAAAAGCAAATGGTCTGTCTCCCGAAGACTGCAGCCGAGCCTGTCCTGGTCCTGGCTGCAACTTTACTCCAAATATGCACATCCCTGCAGGCACAATGGCTGGGGATAGAGAGGTTCGGAGAGGTTGAGAAATACCCATGAAGGAGAGCTAGGATTGTGTATATAATTGGTGATACTGTCTCAAGAGCGTTTTCCTACTCTGGGTCTTGAAATCTTACATATCAAGTCCCTCAGGACAGGCTACTTAATAGTGGGCTCTGATGGGGAAGGGGGTTTGTGGGGCTGGGAAGGAATCGAGAGGTGCCTGCCATATCCCCCCTGCCCCCCAGATGCAAGTTCACCTGCACAGGGAGGTGATGGCTGCTTTCTGCAGGCTGAGGGATGACCGTATCTCCCCAGGCTGTATGTCTGATGCAGCTGGTGCTGTTACCAGAAATCCCACGACCACGGGTCCCTGTCCCCACTTCGACGTCCCCCAAGAAACCAAGATTTAAAGCTCTCTAACAATTCAGGTGTTTCTTTTTTTTTTTTTATTTATGAGGAATGTATATTGTTAGTCACTTATTCAAGGGATAAAGCGGAATCATAAAACTGGACTGCAGCCATCGTGGCACCCAAGTCTATGCTTGGGCTCTTCCCCACTCTGCTCTTGGAGTCACTGCCGTTGACTCCAAAACCAAACAAATTCAACAAAGAGGAAGCAGCTTGAAGCACTGACAGTTTTTACAAGTGATTATTCAAAGAATGCACAATAGCCACAGTTCAGACAAATCAACTACAAAAGTAATTAAAAAAAAAAGTTGGGGGGAAGGGGTACTGGTTATTAAAGGTTGGACAAAAACATGAAGGGAACAGCGGTGGAAGCTCTGCCTCCTCAGAGGGGCATGGGGACGCAGTGATGCAGGGCCTCACGATTAATTTCCAGCAGACACGTGGAGTTCAGGGATGCCTTGCTCTCTTCCTACAGTAGCAACTGAATACTGCACGTTTGCTAGAGAAAATCTTGGGGCAATTGGGGGAATCTGATCTTTTGAGACCCCTGTTGTCCCCATTAAAGAAGAGGCAGCTGGGCTGAGCTCTGCTGGAGATACTAATGCCCAAGATGGACCGAGGGGCCAAACATTCCGAGGAATCAGTAGGTGATAACCCTCCAGCCTGAAGAACCGAGAGGATGTGCTTCCTTCCAGCGGCTGGGAACCACGAGATCTCTCTGCCCCAGTTGCGGGTGCCAGGGTTGACTTAACATGCCTTCAGCAGACTCACAGGGCCAGGGAGCAGGCAGGCCCCTTCCACCCCAGAAGACAGGTGCCGTTTTTCCTACCAGTTCCTTGGGACGCTTTGGTGTTCCGCAGAGACATCCTCAGTCTATTTTAAAAACTTGGGTTTTCTTATTTTGGTCAATTTTTGGTCACAAGTACAGAGGGTACAGCGGGCCCCAAGAATAAAAGTGCAAATGTGGATGTATCTACTTGTTGAAGAGGCGGGCCAGACCGTGGGTGAACTCGTCCGCAGTTTGGGGGTGTGGGGACGGAAAGTCACCTGAGGGCACTGGCTCAGCATGTTCCCAGATGAAGATACGTTATCTACAGGAAGGAGGCAGGCTCAGGTCCTGAAGGCAGCAGCGCCCTTGTAGTCCTCTTGAGCGTGTCTGGCTGATTTAGCCCCAGAGCTGGACTCCAGGGAGGCCACAGGCTCTGACCACATCAGTCCACATTAGGTGGACAAAGATCCACCTCGGAGTTTGAAGACAACCTGCCCTTTCACCTACAACCCCTGCCTTGTTGCATGTCAACCCTGTAAGGATTCCCTAACAGGCAGGGAGACCTCAGGTCTCTGGCCTGCCCATGAACCTACTTCTGAAGCTGTCTGGCAAAGTGAAAGTGCTTGGATAAATGGAAAAGTACCTCTGAACTTTAAGTCTGCTGAATTATAGGTTATCCGTAGCAGTTAAGAATCAACACCTATGGCATTATTTCAAAACTTCAAAATTTGCATATGACTTAGTTTTCCTGGGTGTTGCTGTCATGAGAAATACTATGCCAGGTGCAACAGTGATCTGAAACAACATGATTTTTTGCCCTTATTCTTACTGATTATCTGAGCAGAAATGATTTGACCTTCTAGGACTTGTCCTGGACTTTTTTCCCCAGCAGTTGGCTGGGGTCTATGGTCATACATTCCACATTGGCAGGGCAAATTATTAAGAATGTTCTAGGAGTAGAAGCGGCTGGAGCTTGGAAATATTCCAAGGAATATCTGTGCTCCCTGGGAAGTGGTCTGTGTCACCTGCAGGCGGAAAGCCCAGCTATTGCTTGGGCAACTCCCCTAGCCCGGTCTGGCTGGTTCTAGCCTTCCCTGCTGCCTGGGGAAGGGATACACTTCCAGAATAGCAGCTTTCCCTGCCTCACCCCACCCCCCACCCCCGACTAGCTGGCTAAAGTGCGAGATGGGAGGAAGATTGCTAAGCATTATTTGCAGCTTCTGATAGCATTTCCATTGGCACTGACTGCAGTATTGAACTCCTGCCCTTGTAAATGTCTCACCCAATTCTTTAACTTCACTTCTTTACCCTCTTGGGGACGGGAAAGAGAAGCTTTGATCACAAGGAAGGATTATCAGAAGCGGAGGAGGGGAAGCAGAGCGGCCTGCAGAATTCACAAATGAATCGTTAGTCCCTGATGTGACACACACAGAGTGGACTGAGCCTAATCAAGAGGTCAGTGTAGCAAACACAAAGGGAAAGGAAATGGAAAAAACTAAAACAAAACTTAAGAGGAAATGGGCTATAGGAGCTCAGTGACTACATACGCCTTGCGGTGAAGGAAAAGATAAACCCTTTTCCCTCCCTTTAGGTCTCTGCCTCTTCACATGGGAAAAGAGACAGGCTCCTGACCAGACTCTGCCTAGTAATCCCAAAGAAAGCAGGATAAATGGGAACCCAAAGTTCTCGAAAACACCAACTGTGGGTGGGAGGAAAAAAAAGGAAGAGAAATAAACCCCTTGATCAAATAAAAAGGAATGCTACAACCTACCTCTCTCTCACCCCAGTGTGAAACACCCCTATCCATCTGTCACTGGATCATACTATACTGGGCAGAGATAAAAGTTCTTTTCCTCCTGGGGTTTGCTTATCCAGTTCCCATAGCCCATATCCTTCAGGCTTTTCTTGAAGTAGTTCTTGGCTATCTCATAGTCACGGGCAGCTTTCTTGGCCTCACCATAGGAGAGTTTCAGTAGATCCCTGCGGTAACGGAAGGAGCAGAGCTTCTTAAATAGAAGAAAAATGTTCTTTTTGGAGACCCGGGACAATTCATTCCGTGGCCTGGAGGAACAAAAGCACTCATTATTCACCTGGGACCAGGGACAGTGGGGGGCCTGAAGTGGAGAAAGCAAGGTAGGGTAGGTAGCTCTTAAGCTCTGAGATCGGCAGATACGTGTGCACCCCTGGGAGTGAGGGCAGGAAGCCTGGCCTTGCCTTTACTGCACTGTCCATCTCCTTACCCGTCCACGGTGCCCCTGGTACCGTCCAGGATCTCTAGGTCATAGCCGTCAGCCAAACACCAGTTGACGCTTGTCTCCTTAGTCTTCCCGGATTGCCTTTTGGAATCATATACACTGACTCGGCCAACCTAGGAATCCCAGAAGCGATGGGAGAAAGATGGAAACCTTTCAGGAATAAGATTCCGAAGCAGGGACTCAAGACTCATAGGAAAGAGGGAGTGTGGGGCCTTGATCTTTCTTCTCTATTTAGGATTCTGTTTGGCTAAGATTGGGCAGACTCTACACATACTAACTTCACCTTGATTCAAATTAATTCCAGACTAAGAGAAAGCAAGCCCTTGGCATCCAAAAGGAGGCAAGGATAAGTTCTTGGGGCACCAACAAAGGCTCCCCTTGCCCACAGTGCACATGTTTGCTCTGCTTTCAGGATTGGTTGAAAAGGAGAACCATGTCAAGGGCAAACAGAATGAGGTTATAGCACCTTGGGGTGGTTGACAATAAAGGGATGTCGTAGTCCATCCTCGAACGCACTTCCATCTCTTGTTACACGACAGCAAATAGCACGGGTCAGATGTCCTTGGCTGAAAAGGTAACCTGGGTACAGAAACAAGAAATGTATACACCTGTGTTTGCACCAAATGCTGTTAAGAGGCAGAGGCATGTGGGAAATCCAGAGGTACAAAATAGAGTTGTCAAGACAGAGAAAAAGCCTTCTGATTGTGGCTACTCAGGATATATATGGGATCATCAAATATTTAAGCATAATATAAGAGGCTCCAGGTAAGGCCAAGGACTGTGGACAACAAGCAAACTAAAGCGCTGCTGTTTTAAGCTGCTGTGTTTCTTTAACCCATCTTGAAAGGACTGGCCTGGCGTGTTTTTACTTAGGATTGCTGCCTAACCCTGTGTCTACCACAGCAGGCTGGATATTCAGAATCGCTTCTGACGACTGAAGCAAGTTCACGTTGGAAAGGGGAACCTGGCAAGAAAGCATGCGGTTTCCTGGGATTTGGGCACAAGGAAGACAGACTGGCCCCGGATCCCAAGGCAGGCCCCTTACCTAATGTGACAGATTTGAGATACACGGGCTGCAGGAAGTGGGTCAACAGTGCCCCTTGCAGGCCCAGCACGTTCCAGCGCAGGATTTTGTCACTACAGGACATGGTGCGGAGTCTTTCCCCGAGCCGAATGCCGTCCCACGTCGGCACAATGTCACTGGACTCCACAGGGATTGTGCCTTCCCCTGTGTGAGAGACTTGGGTCAGACCTACGGGGGCCACTGGGCCAAACCACTCCCTGGCATGGTGTCTGTAGGCCTTGAGCTTGGGACATTCATTCATTCATTCTTCACACATTTCACAGTCTCCACCGCGTGCCAGACACTAGGCTTGTGCTGGGAAACAGTGGTGAGCAAAACCAAGTAAGATCCTTGTCCTCCTGGAACATTTGTCAGGGAGGGCTGAGGGCACAGAAAGGCAAGGAAAAGACACTAAACGAGTAAACCAATATATTCATACGAATTCTAGATGCTAATAGTGCTCTGAAGGCTTTGAGGGAGCCCTGGTGGAGGACCACGGGGGGATCCTCCTGGGACAGAAGAGTCAGGGGAGCTGGGACATAAAGGGGAAGGAAGAGGTGGAGTGTGACAGACACACAGAGCAGAAGTGAAGGTCCTCAGGCAGCAAGGGGTTTGGTTGTTCAGGGAGCCGACAAAGAGCCCGTGTGACTACAGCACATGTGAGGGTGGGGGACAGGGGCACAGGATGAGGCTGGGAGATCACGGCAGGTTTTGCTTTTATATGAAGTGCAGTGGGAAACCACTACCGGGTTGGTTTTTCCCTTTTTAAAATAACAGCTTTATTGAGATGTAATTCATATGTCATACAATTCACCCATTTAAAGCATACAACTCAGTGGTTTTTAGTATTTTCACAGGGTTCTGCAACCTTCACCACAGCTAATTTTAGAGCATTGCATTGCTCCAAAAACAAACCTTCTACTCATTAGCAGTCACTCCTCATCTCCCTCCAACCCTCCCAGCCCCATCCCTGGCAACCACTCATCTGCTTTCTGTCTCTATGGATTTGTCTTTTCTGGACATTTCATGTTAGTGGAATAATACAATATGTGATCTTTGTTGACTGGCTTTTTTCATTGAGCATAATGTTTCCAAGTTCATCCACGTTGTAAGCATGTATCAGTACTTCATTTCTTTTTATGATCAAATGATATTCTATTATATGGATATATCACATTTTCTTTATCTATTCATCGGTTGATGGCCATTTGGGTTGCTTTCCACTTTTTTTGGCTATTATGAATAATGCTGCTATGAACGTTCATGTGCTAGTTTTTGTGTGGACACAGGTTTCCATTTCTCTCGGGCAAATACCTAGCAGTGAGCTAGGGTACTCAGCAGGGTTTCAGGAGCACTCGGATGACTGCTCAAGTGTGGGCTCAATGGCACACTTGAGCAGGAGTGGATGTGAAGAGACAGTAAGGAGACAGCAGAAGACAGGCGAGAAGGAGGAGCTAAGTGGACCAGGCGCAAACTCAGCAGCCAACTGTACAGAGGGAAACCAGGCACGAGCACCCTCACGTGCCAACTCCTCAGGGCTTGGCTCTGCACCACTTTCTTTTCATTTCCTCCACCATCCCCAAGCTAACCCTTTCTGTTCCCACTGCTGTGAAGATCCTACAGGAGGACGCCTATGTTTTTATTTCTAACCAGGCTCTCTCCTCTGAGCTCAAGGTGGCCACCTCCACCTCCTGTTTGTTTTGGAGATTTCTCACGTCTCCCAAACTAACAAATTCAAAATGGAACCTTGATCCTCCTACAGACCTCCTCCACTCAGACCTTCCCTCTCCTGTAAACAGCACCCCAGTGCCCAGTGGCAGTCCTGTAGAGACTTGGGGTCCTGGGGCCTGGCAGAGCCTTTTGTGGGAAGGAGGGAGGGCACGTGTCACTCACCGTTCTCCACCTTGGTGCGGAGCTTGCCTTGTTTGGGATTCTCAAAGACAGGGTAGTGGCAGGAATCTGTGCTTTCCACAGCCCGGTCACTGCAGGACTTGTCAAAGAGGGCACCATCTCCACATGGGGCGGTGCTGCAAAACAGGGGCATCTGTTCAGACTCACCTGTGCCCATTTCCCCCAATTTCCCAGGGCTCAAGAACAGTCAGATGAGGTAGGAGCAAGGAATGTTTTCTGAGTACTACCACAGGGCACATATCTCAAACCCAGAGTGGTGTGTGGTTTATTGTATAAGGTCTGATTTATGGGCCAGGAGCACTTGGATACCCAATCCTGGGAGCCTGGCAGGGCTGGCTCGGCAGCAACAGAGACTATGCAAACCTGATATAGAGATGGAACGACACGGTCTTTTTTATTTGGAGCTTTTCTCCTCCCCTAGCAGGTTCAAATATACTATCCTTCGCAGTCTGGGGGTTGTATTTCATTAACTCGCTGTAGAGAAACCTATAAAAAGAAAATGTGGTTAGGAAGACAGGTTCAATTCTGGGAAGAGCAATTGCTTCTATAATCTGACCTCTATCTGAGCCCCAGGTAAGGAAAAGTCTTCATGATCAGACCTTTCACAATTTCTCAGGTAGAAAGAAGTGGTGGGAAAATTCTTCATGGGAGACCACAGCCTTCCACAAAGCAAAGCTGGCCTTTTGGGTCAGTTTCATTTCTGCTGAGGGCTCCTCGCTATGGTGGCTACAGGGATTTTAGGGCAGAACAAATTGATTCAAGGACTACAGGAGGCTGTTGCTTCTACCCTGGTCTCTCCCTTCATACATTAAAGAAAAGGTGAACTAGAGGAGAAAGCTGGCAGGGATGCTGAGGTTGCTCATAGGTCCTGAAATGGAGATAGAAGGCTGCCTCATTCCCAAGGCCCTGAGAACCAAAAGGTCATTTTGTGTTTTTTTTTTAAAAAGGACATGAAGCAGAGTTAGTAGATAAAAGGACAGCACTTAAAAACAGTCTGAGTAGCAGGATGCAGCCCGGGTCGCAGAGGAGATCGATTCTGTAAGACAGGTTCAAATGGACAGGCTAAAAGCAAAGGCTGCCAGTCTGATGGGGTTTCAGAGGCTGTGTCGCAGTCCCAGCACCCTGGGGGCAGCAGATGTGGGGCAGAGAAGTGATGCTCACTCCACGGCCAGGCAGCCAGCCCGCTCTGATCTCGCTCACCTGATGAAGCCTCTCCGGGAGATGATTTCCGCGTGGCAGTCGTTGACAGTTTCTCCCTTTAGGCTGAGAGAATCTCCTTTCACACAGCGATTCCCTAGGAAGGCATTTAATACAAAAATGGAACAACTGAAGGAAAATGATGATGAATAGGGGTGAAGGCTGTTTGTTCTTAAAGCTTAAAGGCAGGCCAGGTGCAGTGGCTCACGCCTGTAATCCTAGCACTCTGGGAGGCCGAGGCTGGTGGATCACTCAGGGTCAGGAGTTTGAAACCAGCCTGAGCAAGAGCGAGACCCCGTCTCTAATAAAAATAGAAAGAAAATTAATTGGCCAACTAAAAATATATAGAAAAAATTAGCCGGGCATGGTGGCACATGCCTGTAGTCCCAGCTACTCGGGAGGCTGAGGCAGGAGGATTGCTTGAGCCCAGGAGTTTGAGGTTGTTGTGAGCGAGGCTGACACCACAGCACTCTAACCCAGGCAACAGAGTGAGACTGTCTCAAAAAAAAAAAAAAAAAAAAAAAAAAAGAAAAGCTTAAAGGCAGAAATAGCCTCAATTTATCAGCTCCTGGACTCCCATATTCTCTCCTCTGGGAAATAACACATTCCTCACTCTGAATGGGCTGTAGCTAAAATGAAATACAAGTTTTTTGTCCCTGCCTTGGGGTCCCTGTCACAGACTCCAGGGGAAGATGACAAGGACTGGCTTCTGGGCACTGTGGGAGGCAGATGCCTGGAAGAGCGTGTTCCAGGACTTCACTCACCTGTCCCCAAGCTGACTACAACGCCCATGTCCTCAGAGTCTTTCTTCATGATGATGGCAGCCAGGATCTTGCGGCCAAGCAAGGAGGGTTGGAAACTGTTCGTCAGAGCATTGAAGCACCTGTGGCTCAGCATGGCTATCTGGTCGTGGAAGGTGCTGCCAGTGAGAGGGAGCTGTGGGGACAGGAGGCTGCGTCAGGACCATGAAGCCAAGGCTGCGTCCACCACAGTCACAGTGGGCGGGGAGACCAAGTTCTACTCGACACGTGAGCCATCCTTCCCCTCTCACATCTAGCGTCACAGTTATACGCTCTACTGAGGCTGACATTAAAGCCTAGGACTAACTCACAGGACAGCAAGTCAGAGCCAACTCCACCCAGAGAGGAGTCAGCAGGAGCCCCCCCAACAAAAAAAGATAGCACCAAAAGTAGACGTCTTAACTGTCTTTGGCTGTGCTTCTGGGGACCTTGAGAGGAGGAGCAAAGTTCTTCTGAGACTGGCCCCTGTCACTGGGGTTACCTCTGTGAAACCCATGCGTTCTGCCTTCTCGTTCTCCCCGATCAAGACACGGAGAGCCGCATCTGCTGCTTCCTGCTTGCCTTGCTTCTTGCTGTGTGCGCAGACGGCTGGGAACCAGCGACCCCCAACTTTTGCTTGGTAAACGAACCTTTGGGATGAGAAGCAGGGAATGAAGACACGCGGCAGGCCTTGACAGCTGTTCCGGGGAAGAGCTAGTTTGGCTTAAGATGTGACCAGTCATACAAACCTATGGACCCATCAATCTGGACAGCTGTGTCTAAGGCAGCATTTTCCAGATTTTGGTAGTTCGAGAATTATAGTATGACTTGTGCTAGATCCAGTATCACCTGAGTTATTACTCCCCCCCCCACCACCACCCCCACTAAACTCTTTAACAACATACACATATTTAAAAAGGAAACTTCATATCATGGCTGTAAATGGAAAACTAGTATCACTTGCCATAAATTGAAGGTGGCTTTGAAACTGAATATGATAAAATCAAGTCATTAAATTCTGACCAGACACTGTTACCTGCAAAGGCTCTGGGCCTGTCCTTCCTATAAAGGAAGATCAGGAGGTATTAGAGCATTGAAAGAAATCAGCACCAAAGTTGGCCTTTCTCCTTAACTTAAACAGAAATGAGAAGGGAATAACTTTCTCTTCACGTGAATAACTGTTACTTAACACACTGTGATTTTTAAAGTACAATTTCATTTCCTTATTCACTTCCTGATTAGCTCAAGGGGACTTAACCTGTGCCCTTGAAGGCAGGTCATTATGTCAAGGTCTGCCTTAGGCCAGGGAACTGAGCTTTTCTGAGGGAGTTATTTTTTGATTTCTGGCAAGCTTGAGATGGCTGTGGGGGTAAGTGGATGGGTCTTGGGCCCATGAGCTCTGCTGACAGTAAAGTGTACAAGTGGGGCAGGGAGGGCCCCATCACTCCTGGCTGGGGATTTCTACAAACACAGAGGGATGGAGCAAAACAGTTTGGAAATCTACCAGTCAAGGTGTTAAGAATCCCGTCTTTCAACCAGATTCTAACCTACTGGCTAGGAACCCAGCTTTGGATAATCAAACTGCATATAACAGAGGCTTCAGTATCAAGATTTACCAGCTCAGGCAGTAAAAAGAATCAACCTTAATGTTCAACCACACCGAGTTTCTCATTATTCCTTGACTAGCCTAAGCAGCTGAATGTCTTCAAGTACTTTCTTTGCCCATGCCGGCAGGTTTATGCAGGCCAGTGGGCTTGAGTTCAGACTGAGAGGAACAGGAGCAAGAAGAAGATGGAGACGGGGTCTGGGCCAAACTGCATAGGATCCTTCCCTGAGGTATGTAAGAGAACCTCATGACTACTCTATGCATTGTAAAAGAATATGAACTCTTATGCACAAAGTTGGTTTTTTTTTTTTTGAGACAGAGTCTTGCTCTGTTGCCCGGGCTAGAGTGTCGTGGCATCAGCCTAGCTCACAGCAACCTCAAACTCCTGGGCTCAAGCAATCTTCCTGCCTCAGCCTCTCGAGTGGCTGGGACTACAGGCATGTGCCACCATGCCCGGCTAATTTTTTTCTATTTTTTGTAGAGACAGGGTCTTACTCTTGCTGAGGCTAGGTGTGTAGTAGGATATGCCACCTGGGCTTGTGGGAGTATACTCTATCTTGTGCACAAGGATGAAATCCCCCAACGACTCATTTCTCAGAATGTGTGTATCCCTGTCATTAAGCAATGGGTCTGGGAAAGGAAATTAGATGTCTGGGATAGAAATGAGACTTTTCATTGTATAGGTTTTCAATCGGTTTGAATGTTTTCCTATGTACATATATATCCCTTTAAAAGTTAAAATCAGTTAAAAAATTAAAAAGGATCATGGTCACTGGAAGAGCGATTATATCCTCTGGACGGCTGATCCGATGTCTTCTAGAAGGCAGGGAGACAGGGCTGGATTTGTTTCCCTCTACTCGCCCCCTCTGTCGTTCACAGTTAATGCATATCCTTTCTTTCCCCGGGTTACAAGCCACCCCCACACCAGGTGACACATGGCTGCAGCCGGGACTGGGACACTCACTTGGGCTCGTGAGGAGGTCCGGACTGGTCAACCAACTTGAATTCGGCAGCAAAGCCATGGGAGCGGGCGTACTCTAACAGGCCGCCCACGGGGTTGGTGTTCAGGTATCTGACGAGCTCGCCAATCCTCCTGACCTTGCTGGGCATCACGGATTCCAAGTTATCAAGTGATTCCGTGCTCGTACCTCCAGGCTAAAGGGAAATTAATCAAACAAAGAGGAATCATAAACGTTGACTCAAGGAAACTTTGACAGACTCACAGGCAATCCTAAATGACCTGTTGCTAAAAACGACCTGTGTCTTTTGAGCGGGAAGACAAGCCCACCTGGTTCTCAGAGTTGGTCGCCTCCCCGTGCAGGGCCTTCATGGCTTCCTCTGCGGCCATCTGCTTTGCCACTTTCTTGCTGGGGGCACTCACGGTGGGGAAAGTTTGGGCTCCCACTGCAACACAGTATTGGAACCTGACGAAGAGAGCAGAAGGATTAAATGGTTTTGACTGAGGAGCGTGCTAGCCTTTGTCAGCCTGTCATCCTTTACTACTTGGAACTTCCTCGCACACACTGCCTTTGCGCAGTCACTTCCCGCGCAGTCACGTCTGCCTCGAACAGCCAGAGCCCTTCACCCACCAACGCAGTGTCTCTTAGCCTGGCTGACCCCTCTCGACATTTTTTTTTTTTTTTGGAGACAGAGTCTTGCTTTGTTGCCCAGGCTAGAGTGAGTGCCATGGCGTCAGCCTAGCTCACAGCAACCTCAAACTCCTGGGCTCAAGGGATCCTCCTGCCTCAGCCTCCCCAGTGGCTGAGACTACAGGCATGTACCACCATGCCTGGCTGATTTTTTCTATATATATTAGTTGGCCAATTAATTTCTTTCTATTTATAGTAGAGACGGGGGTCTTGCTCTTGCTCAGGCTGGTTTCCCGCCCGCCTCGGCCTCCCAGAGAGCTAGGATTACAGGCGTGAGCCACCGCGCCCGGCCCCCCTCTCGACATTTAAGCATCAACCCAGTTTTACCTCCTCCAAGAACCCTTCTCTTGAACATCTAAGTATACAGACCCACAAATAGAGAGATTCTCGGGTCCAGTACCTGTTTGTCCCATCAACAGTAACCTCCAAGCCATGGACCCCCCTAGTGCTTGGTTCCTTTAATTCCTGATCCCAGATTCTCTGCTCCATGAGCAGCACTCAGGCCCTCGAGGCTCCGCTTTCCCCATTTTGAAACAGAAAAAATTGCTCAGTGAAATAACTGGCCATCTCTGAGAAGACAAGGAGGAAAACGTGTCTTTTTCTTTTTGCAAAAACCTCAGCAGAGATACGTGACTCGGGGACATACTTGGGGTCATGGGCGGGGCCTTCTTTGGATAGGAGACGGAATTCACAGGAGCTCCCCAATTTGTGCATGCACTCAAGCAATGTAGTGACAGGGCTCTTCCCAGAAAATGAAGATATTGTTGAAGGAGTGGTGGCCTGGGACTCTGCGTTCTGGAGGAGATGAGACAAGAAGAAAACAAAACTAAGAAAACACTAGTTAGTCCATCACGGAAGAGGGGAAGGGGATGGAAGAATTTCTTCTGACTCACTAAATGTTAAGGGGCTGGCATTCCAAAGGAAAAGGGGCTGTTGGAGGATTTTCTAGGCATTGCAGCAAAGCACAAGTTATTTAAACGTTCTGGCTCCCATTTCTCATTTTCACGAACTCCTGACCTTGAGCAATCCTCCCGCCTCAGCCTCCCAGAGTGCTAGGATTACAGGTGTGAGCCACCGTGTCCGCCCCTCATTTCTCATTTTCTAAGAGAGGAGAGGAGGATAATCTTTCAGGTCTCTTTTAACTCAGAAATTCTGTAAATCCAGTTACGCTAGGAAAGAGGGCAAAAGGAGAAGCTGGGTATGAGAAGAAAGGTGGGCTTGGGAGGTGGGGTAGAAGGAGAGTGGGAAGCTGACCCCAAGAAAGTGTCAGCTGTTTAGGCTGGGAAGGTCAGTTAAAATCCTGATACAGACATTGAAAGTGAACGGACACCCTCCCAGAGGGTGGGACATCTACCTTCTCTGATTCTTCGTCTGAGGAATAGTGGGTTGATTCTTCTGATTTTCCACTGTCCTTGGCTTTGGCTTCCCTAAGCAGAATTTTCATGGCTTTCATAGCTGCATCCTGCTTGGCCACTTTCTTGCTGCCAGCTTCTGCTGGGGGAAACTCTCGGCCACTGATGACAACCTGGAATTTAAATCTTGACGGAAAGTGATTAGATGTGTGAACACGGGTCTAAGCCATCCCTTCTGCCCTCTCCAAAGAGATCTTCACCCTGGAATTCCTTGCTATATTAAAGGGCTTTTTGATTTGGGGAGGAGATGGAGGGTAAGCCAAGGAACTCCTATTCCTTTGGAGGCCCAGCCTGTCCTTTTTTTTGGGGGGAAACAAAGCAGCCAGGAGCTCAGCAGAGCAAACACAGCCACAGGTGAAATGAAATGAGCTCAGGGGAAACCCGCTGTCTCTTTAACAGTGAATCACAATAAAGCCTATATAAAAAATGATGAGCTAAAATCGCCATTACAGTCTTGTTGGCAACCAAACGTCTTCCTCCTAAAGCAACTGTGGTAGACTGGCCGCCTTGAGGAAAGGCCCTAAAAGATAGTGAAGGCTTATAGCCCAGAAGGCTCACACTCCCCAGCCACCTTCAGGGATCACACACCTGCCATTTATCAGGGCCTGTTTTGCCCCTAACCTACCCTTAGACACCTATCACTCTTAGAGTTTGTTATGAGTCATTCCATAGCTCTAATTGTCCCAAGCCTGAGATGAAAGGAATTTCCCCTTGTTATGTAGAAAATAAAAAAACATTATTTCTAGGCCTCTGGACTTAGCCCAGGCCTCCTTTGTTCAAGCTTTCAAATTTGTTCAGCGCTTTGCTCAATCTAGGATTTCATTTAGAAAAGTAGGTCGAATTTCTTATTTCCTAGGTCTTTTGAAATAGCTGAACATAGATAGCATCAATGTTTTTACAGGTGAAGTCCAAAGGATGATTACCCACAAAACCCACTGCTTTCCCCCAACTCTAGGGAGGGCAAAGAAAGAGAATGATGGAGAATGACAGCCATCCAGTTTCCACCCCAAACAGAAATAAACCAGTCTGGCCCTGCCAACCTTTGGACAGATACACCCCCTTTTCTTAACAGCTCTCCTGCAATGCCAACTTGGTGGTCACTAAGATAGTCAAGATAAGAAGTAAGGACCACAGCCAGGAATTCTCACTCCTAGAACCTGGGTAAACATAAAGGTTAGTGGAATTCTCCACCATCCTCCTGGCTCTCTTTAGCTGCAGCTTGCAGGCCCTGAGCTTCAGGGGTTTCAGCTCTCTGCTAGGCCCTTTGGCAACTCCTTTCTGGGCCCACCTGTCTTCCTCAATCTGTCCACTGGCCTATAGGACCCTGGAGTGCAGGGCCCCGCCAGCTGAGTGAAGTAATCTCTGATTTCACAGCTCAGAAGCAGCAGCAAGTGCTAGCCCGCCCATCTGTGCAGAGGAGGTGTGTAAAATTAGAACCACCACCTTCAATAGGCAGGCAGGCAGGCGTGCATGCTCTAGTCTACACCATCCTTCCCCCCAGGAGTCTGTGCAGAGGGGATTTTGGACCTGCTGCTGCTTAGCAGCACAACCCACCCTCACTCTGTGAATGCAACCTGCCCCAGCCCACCTGTTCCTGTGCCTCTCTCAGGAACTTGCTTGGGGAGAAGGGGATGGCTCACAGAAGAGGGTGGGGAGTTAAGTCTTCGCTACCTCTGGCCTTGAGAGGTAGGCATGACATTGATGCACAAAAGCCAATCATTCCTAAAGAAACTTCACTTCGGCCAACAGTGTCAACCTCCCCCTTGCTCAGCCATGATTCCGGCTGGTTCAAGGCCTACACTGCCCGATCAACATCTGGAAAAGGGCCAATCAAAGGTGATTTAGCCAAAAGGCAGAGAAGAAGAGGGAAAAGACAGGGGCCACCAAATGGCACAGCTCAGGAGTCAGCTGAGACGCTTTCAGGAGCAAGAGCACTGGACCCCAACCCTAGGTACAGTTCCTGGGTGGTCTCTTACCGAGGTTCATGGGATGGTCCACTCTGCTCTATCAGGTTGAAATCACAGGTCTGACTAGTGAACTGAGCATACTCTAACAGCCCGCTGACGGGGTTCTTCAGCTGGCACTCTGTCAGTTTCTTGTAGGTTGAGCACCGTGGCAAGCCATGACTGTAGAAGGAGGGCATCTCCATGATGGCTCGAAACTCACCTGGTGGTGCATGGATGCTATTCAAGTCATCTGGGATGTCATCTGTGGCCCACTGGCCATTTTCAAAGTCAACATACCCTGCTCTTGAGGGGCCATTGTTATGAATAGGTGGTTTCAGTTTTATTGGTTCTGCTCTGGCCACTTGCCTGTCTTGTAACTTTATGACAGGTGCCTGCCCATTCTCCACTTTTGCTGTGGTTACCACGTTATTTGAGGCATTTGATGTCGGTAAGTTGCAGGTGGGGAACTCTGCGTTTCTTTTGGTCTCAGTGATGGGTGCTACAGTGGTTTCAGGAAAACTGTTTGTATTTCTCTTCATTTGCATCCTCTCTCGCTTCTTGTCTGTCAAATACCATATGGGAGGGGTTGTCCCTTGCCTGTAGACATCCCCCTGCCTTTCCAAGTCAATCAGCACAGCATTCACATCTCGGGCCTTGCTGAAGCCAATATTTTTAGCCAAATTCAGGGCAGAGGAGTCAGACACATTAAATAGGTAGTCACAGATTTTCTCCTTGATTTCAGCCATGTCAAAAGGATCAGGAAGCTCTTCCAAGACAGATGTGGTGTTTTTGTCTTCAGTTTCCAAACTAGAGTCTGAGTCTGGGGCTCCCTGGCTCTGACCGTCTGATTTCACTACTCTACTCTGCTGGTTCTCAGCCTGAGCTGAGACTGCCAATTTCCACAAAGGGGGCGTTCCTGCCTCCCGATGTAGCTTACCCTTTTTTGCCAGAGAGTATAAAACTCGATTGACTTCCTTCTTTGGGACCTTGAGTTTCCCAGCCAGATCATGTGCTGTGGTGGCCTTCCCTTCCCCAAGCTCCTCCAAGAGCTTTAAGATCCTCTGTTCCTGATCCTGGTTGATACTCAGTTCCTGGAAATGTGCGGAAAGCCTATCAACACCTCTCCATGGCAGAATCCTGCCACGTGGCGAAGGATGCTGGGACCCTCTCTGGAACCCCTGACTTCTGAGATGAACGCTCCTGGGGACACCCCAGCTCTCAAGCTGCCTGCTTCTGGCAGGTGGCTCTGGAAATCTTGGCCAGAGTCCTGGGAGGAAGAGTGGTGGTGGTGATGGTGTCTGCTTCCCAATCAGGGGCACTTCTGGGAGCTGCCCCTTGAGAAACTCTATTTGCTTGAGCTGGAAACCATTAGAGCAAGATCCTGGCCCCCACTGCTGGTGTCTGATCTTGCTGGGCTCATAGCCTTGAACTGGAGGGGGGTGGTATCTGTTAAGGGAATATCCCTGCAGAACAAGATAGTGGAGAAGAAAGTGCATTAGGGCTACAGTGATGAGCCTGTGGAGTCCCCGTCCCTTCCCTGCTTGGGGGAGCTGCCCCAAGTGGGTTGAGAAGGAAACTGAGCCACGGGCTTATGACCCAGCAGGGGTGACTTGTCATTTTGTAAATACTGCCTAGGGGGCCACCAACAGGAACACAGAGAGGGGAGCAGGAGGCAAAACACACGGAGGTTCTTGGCACAGCCTTTCTAGCAACCTTATTCTTTTTCCTTTCACAGAATTTTAGGGAATTTACAAGGAAACTTTCCACTCACCAATAAAACTGCCCTTCTACAATCAGAAAAACAAATAAGTGTTGTCTTGTTTTAAAAACAAACAGAAACAGAATGCCTGAAAATGCCAAGGGAGTTAGTGGACTAGGGAGTGGACGAGGGCATCCCTCCTCCTCGAGTCAGGTTCACCACTGCACAGCCTCTTTGTCTCTAAATCTACCATTTGCAAGACTATGACTAAAAAAGAAATTTAAGTTGATTGGATGAACCCCAGTCCGCCAAGGCTGTATCGGCACTGTAACAGGAACAGTGTCCACACGGGAAGGGCACAGGACTTCAGAGATGCATCTGCTCACCACTGCCATCCCAGGAAGATCAGAATTTGCTTTTAGGGAGGCTGGAGCGTTTCCTCATAAAAATGGCACATTGTCCTCACGCTTCAGTGTGGTACCCAGGCTCACAGGGGACATCTGGGAATTTTGCCCAAACCACCCAGGCTCACCTGGATGTGTGGAGCTGGCAGGGTCTACTCCTCACCACCTCAGCTCGGTCCTCCTCCCTTCCCTAGCTACCTCCCAAGAGCTGCGTCCACCGCACGTTCTTGTGAACCCTGACATCCAGGCCACAAGTGACCCCATATTCTCCTTTCCCTGGGGGCTTACAGACTTGGAGGGGGACATCTAGCAACTTCTCCTCATGCTTATGTCCCCCTTCTCCGATTCTCCTGAAGGCTACACAGGCAGCTGGGCCCCTTTCTTCTAGAATTTCAGCCTTCTACTCCCCCACATCCCGTCACAGATGGGGAATTCTGGCATTCTTGCTAATCACTCTCATGGTGTCCCTGGTAGGCGGTTCCTTAACTTCTGTCCCAGTGACCTCCATCTCCACCTTCCAGCCATACGATTGGCTTGTCTAGCTATTCCTCAAACCTCACTATTACTCTAGCCTCAGCCACCACCAAGACCTCAAATCCTGAAACACTTTTTCAGTGGGCCAGGAAACTCACTCTGTAAACGGGCCACACAGCCCTGCTACTGTAGTACAAAAGCAGCCACATAAATTGTAAATAATGGAAAAACTTTATAATTTATTTACCATGAAATTTTACTGACAAAAACAGGTGGAGGGCTGGGTTTGGCCTGTGGGCTGTAGTTTGCTGACTCCTGGTCTTTTCTGATGGCGACTTCCCTGTGTTTCTACAACGTCCACTCCTTACTCTGGTGGAACCTGTTTATCGCATGACTCCAGTGCAGCTGCTGGTCAGCCACTCCTGACACTTCTCATTCTGGCTTCAGATGCCCACTCGCCCTGTCTGGATCTCATGGTCAGTCCCCTTCTCCACCCAAGGTCTACTCTCCCCTTTTTCTTCTCGAAAGCTTCCAAGTGGTAGTGGAGAAGGACCCTCACTTGGGCTAGCAGGGCCCACATAAATTCCTTCTCTTGAACCTCAGCGGGGTCTTCACTGTTTGCTGGTCAATTCAGTTCAACAAACATGCAGGCTCACTGTAGACTGTAGATTCTAATTTTTTAGAATCTCTAAAAAATTCTCCTCCCAGGGTCTGGTGACACAGTACCAAAGTTCTCCTCTCACCTCTCTTTTTCAGCCTGTCTTTGTTTCTTTCTTCCATTCCTTACATATAATCAGTCCCCAAGGCTTTGCTGAAAGACCCCTTCTTCCTTTATAATTTGTTCCCTAGGTTAATTGCATCTACTCCCCCAACCTAAACTGGCCCTTTGTAACAGCACTCTAATTTACTGTCTCTAGCCACTTCCTTGTGCGAAGCTTAAGATCTGAATTTCCAACCACCAAGATAATCTGTCCACTTAAATATCCTGTCATTAACTCAAATTCCACACATTCTGAACCAAATTAATCATCCCCCCCAAACCCAGCTCCTTCTCCTGTTGTTTTTATTACTGTTAATGACATCATTCTCCTCCTCCGTTATTAAGGCTAGAAATCTGAGTCACCTTTGCTGCCTGCCCGCCTCCCTCACATCTCCTGTGTTATCTACCACCTCTCTATTGTCTTTTAAATGTGCCTTCCTCCAGTTCCAGCCCTCATTACCTCTTACCTGAGCCAATGCAAAAGCCTCTAATCCTTCTATCCCTCTACACACCAATCTGAGTGGCAGCTTCTCCCTCTACTACCACCTATCACCACTCTGACCCTTCCCTTATGCATCTCCTTAAATGCCACTTTCTCTTCAGGAGACTTCTGATTGTCACCTCCCCCAGCCCATGGGGTTTCCTCTCCTTGAACTCCTCCCACTCAGCACCCATTACACCATTTATCATAGCTGTTGGATTAAAAAAAAAATAGTGGCACACATAGATTGCAGTGTATCTGCAGGGTAATTTTATTTATTTATTTATTTGAGACAGAGTCTTGCTCTGTTGCCTGGGCTAGGGTACGTGGTGTCAGCCTAGCTCACAGCAACCTCAAACTTCTGGGCTGAAGCAATCCTCCTGCCTCAGCCTCCTGAGTAGCTGGGACTACAGGCGCGCACCACCCATGCCTGGCTAATATTTTCTTTTCCTGTTTTAGTTGTCCAGTTAATTCTCTTTAGTTGCCCAGCTAACTCAGAGACAGTAAGATCCTGTTTCTACTAAAAACATAGTAGAGACAGGGTCTTACTCTTGCTCAGCCTGGTCTTGAACCTCAAGTGATCCTCCTGCCTTGGCCTCCCAGAGTGCTAGGATTACAGGTGTGACCCACAGTGCCTAGCCTGCAGGGTAATTTTTAACTAACAATATTAGATGTTCTAGAAATGATACTCAATTCTCTACTCCCAACATTCCCAAAGTAGTATCAATGGGGGTGCAGCAGTTAACTCTACCGTGAGCTCTCAGGGAACAAGGACTGTGCTTCAGCCATCTTTGCCTTCCTAGCATCTGGCACAAAGTTGATCCTGAACTAACGCTTCTTGAGTTAATGACTGTATGAACAAGATGCCCTTATGTAAGCAATCACATCCCTTTCCTTGCCCCTCTCCCTGCCCCTAATATTGCTAGGGGCAGAGGCAAATGTGTCTTCTATTACAGAGCAAGTGCCCAGCTCAGAGAGCTGAATTATAGGACTGTAGGGGGTTTCTGATGAGCTCTTTGAATGACCTTGGGACAAAGAACTTTGTTTCAAAGTGGCTAAAGTCAGCTTCTAGCTAAATGCTTTCTAGATTTAAATTTTGACTCTTGGCCAAAATCTGGAAAATATTTGAATGTCCATCTACAGAAGAGTTAAACAAATCATGATCAATTCATGCTATGGAACAGAACTGTTTTTTTTTTAAAAAAAAAAAAGTGTTACATCTATTTGCACCTGGAAAAAACTTAGAATAATATAATGTTAAATAAAACAACAACAAAAAAGCATGTTACAGAGTAACATGTGTGCTATAATTTCTTTTTTGGTAAACAAAAGGGAAAAAACAATGAATGTGTGTGTGTGTGCGTGCGCGCGCAAGGGTGCGCGAGCACAAGAGAACCAATGCCAAGAAAAGAAAGAAAGATTACATGAATTTGTTAATGGTTATTTTAGGGCAGTATGATTAGAAGGAGAGAAAGAGATTATTAAATTTTTTATTTTTACTCCCATTTTCCCGCTAAAACCCAAGCCACCACTTGAGAACAGCTATTTGTATAGCCGCTCAATGAGAGTAAGAGCAAGGAAGTGAGAAACTAACCCATGGTGATCATTCCTAAATCCCTCAATATCACCTCTCCCCACTTCATGTCCATTTACTCTGTAAGCTATATAAGTCACTTAATATCCACTGCCCCCACATTTCACTTTGATCTCACACTTAGTGTCAAGAGATAAGACCCTTGGCCTTTATCACATGGGCTCCCCAGGGCAATACATTGGTATATATGAAGAAATGATTTTCCTTCAAGTCAGGCATCCTTAATCCTTTTGAAAAGTTTAATTTTTATTTTTTGAGGCAGGGTCTTGCTCTGTTGCCCAGGCTACAGTGCAGTGGAGTGATCACAGCTCACTGTATGTAACCTTAAACTCCTGAGCTCAGGAGATCCTCCTGCCTCAGCCTCCTGAGTAGCTGAGACTACAGGCTCACATCACCACACCTGGCTAATTTTTCTGTTTTTTTTGTCTCACTATGTTGCTCAGACTGGTCTGGAACTACTGGCCTGAAGGGACCCTCTTACAATCTGCCTCCCAAAGTGCTACGATTGTAGGCATGAGCCACTGTGTCCTACATTAAAGGAAGGCTTTTAAATATATACATATAGCATTTTAAAAATTGGGGTGTAATTTACATACAGCAAAATTTACCCCTCTTAGTGTATAGTTCTATGAGTTTTGACAACCACCACCACAATCAAGCTATAAAACATTTATATTTCCCCCTAAAATTTTCTAACACCACTCTGCAGTTTTTTTCCTCTCCCGCATCCAGCCCTTGGCATCCAGGGATCTGTTCTCTATGCCTATAACTTTGTTTTTTTCCAGAATGTCATATAAACGGACTCATACAGTATGTGGCCTTTGTGATTCTGGCTTCTTTTGCTTAGCAAAATGCATCTGGGAGTTATCCATGCTGTTGCGGATATCTGTAGTTCCTTCCTTTCTGCTGCTGAGCAGTAGTATCCCATGGTCTGGTTGTAGCCCAGTTATTAACCTGTTGAAGGGCATTTGTGTTTTCCCAGTTTTTATCTATAATGAACACAACGGTTACAGACTTTCTCCTATGGGTCATTAAGGGCTATTTTTAATTCCCCAGAGGCCTTCAGGAGGTGGAAAGGCTGCAGAGAATAGCGCTGCTAGAAGTAAGGAATGCTGTTCAAGCGGAGTTCCAGGGGAGTGGAGGGCTGCCCAGGGCCCCAGCAGAAAGAGAGAAAGAAGCTGAGGCCTCACTACTCAGACGGGGGTGTGTGTTTTCACCCCAGCCCCTCTTCCACTCACTGCTCCACCCTGCAGAATTGATCAGCAGGATACAAACTCCTGGAAGAGCAATTTTGTGTTTCTGCGTGGCGCACAGCACGCAGACATCGGCGCACGTGGGGCTGCCAGGTGAGCCCACGGGGCAGAGGAAGTCCGGGGAAGATGGGCAGGGCTCGCTCCGCTTACCTGCTGCGGGTCCATAACGCCCCCGGGACATGGCCCGGCGCTGGCGGCCGGCAGGGCCACCCAGCCCCTGCCCCGACGGCTGGGCCGTGCCAGCCTCGCGCGCCCGCGCCCGCGCGCCGCGGGGTGGAGGGTCGGTGCGGGAGCCCCGGCGGCCGCGAGCGGCGCCCAAGATGGCTCCGTTTCAATTTCACTTTCGTTTCCCCAGAAAGCCTTCCCCTTTGGAAAGTTTGGCCAAGAGGAGGAGTCTGGGCTAGCGAGCGAGAGCGCCGGGTCTCACACCGACTGCAAGTCCAGTCCCTCCCGTGCCGGGGAACGGCGGAAGGGGCTCTTTCTCTGGGAAAACGCCTGTGAATGCGGAGCTCACAGCCCCTCTCGGGGACTCGCGGGATGAGGCAAAGGGAAAACAAAGGCGCACGGCGAAAGCTCGGCCCAGGGCAAGCAGCAGGAGGCCGGTCCGCCCTCTCTCTGGGCCGCGTGTCGCGCCGGTAGGGGGTGCAGAGCCCTTCAAACGACCGAGGTCCCCACTGTGGACAGTTTATTAATGTTCCTACTATGTGACAAATAAGTGGGTACCGGCCGGTAAAAGGCAGCAAGATAACTTAATAAGAGCAGCACTGAACAGTGTAGGATCTACATCATAAAACCACCCCTCCAGGCGAGGGTTAAGCACTTTACCAGCACCCTCTCCCTCAGTCTTCACCACAGCAACAAGGCAGGCATGATTCCCCTCGACAACGTGTAGAGACCGAGGCTTGACGGAGGCCTTGCTGCTGCTAAGTCCGGACCTGACTGCGGAAAGCTCACTCTCCTTCGCTGCGCTACACTCGCTCAAGTTACACCGCTGCTTCGAAAGAGGTAACTTTTGTTACCTAGAGGGGAAAATTCCATTTATTTCATGGTCAAGCTTATCTAGCTGCTTGATTTTGTTCATGATATCTAGGAAAAGACTCTACAGGTCAATCCCACTGCTTCACAGCCCCCGTCGCCTGTGAGAAATTTGTTTTTCCATGTTTAATCTCAATTTTACCCCAACTACTTATGAGATCACAAGGGAGTCCCTTCACGGCATTATCTCCAGTTGATGCCCTTTCTCCACTGTCTCCTCATTCTGTCCATACTGTTAATCACTCCAAATTTCACATTCTCTTTCTTCCTTCTGTGCCTTTGCACTCTATTCCTGGGCCTAGGATGCACTTTTTCCTCCACTGCTTCACCAGAAGCAGTCTTTCAAAATCTGCTTCAAATATTACCTCCTAGGGAGGCCTTGCCCCACTGGGGGTGGGGGTGGGAAGTGCGGAAGCAGGTGCAATGTGTGGTTCCTTATTCTGTGCTTCTCGGTTACCCTCATAGAGAGCACGTGGGTATTCCTTTAAAAATGCCTCAATCCTTTAACAAAACCTTACTCAGCCCCTAATATGTGCCAGATACTGGGTTAAGCACTGAGGATATGACACAAAAAAGAGCCCCATCCTTCAGCTGTCAGTCAGTCCACAATATTGTTATATATTACTTGTTTATAGATCTGCCTGCACAGCTGTCAAGTCTTCTCAAGGGCAAGGAACATGTTTTAGACATCCCTACATCATCCTGTGCAGTGACCTGCAGACAGGTGGTCAATTGAACAAACAGCAGACTGTTCGGTAGGTAGAACAATGGGCAAAACAGTTGAAAGGGAACTCTACAGCAGGAGATCAAAAGTATCAAACTTATGAAAAGCTGTTCAACCTCATCACCTCAGGGAAATGCAAAGTAAAGCCACAATGAGTTACCACCCATTTACCAGACAGAAAACATTAACCATCTGATCAGACCAGGTGGGAGCAATGAGGCTCCTAGTCACTGCAGGAAACCAGTTTGCCTTTAGCTAGGAAAGGTGTGGCTATACATACCCCAAGAAGTTCATAGTTGCATTATTTGTAACAAGCCCCTAAACTGGAAACAACCCAAATGTCCATCAAAAGTAAAATGGATATATAAATGGTGGCATATGCGTAGAATGAAATACTATACAGCAACAAAAATGAAAGGTCTATCACCACATGCAACAAGGTGGGTAATTAACTTACACATGATACTGAGTGAAAGAAGCCATATACATATACTATATGGTCCCACTTATATAAAGTCCCAAACCAGGCAAAACTGAACTATAGCATGCTCTGCATGAAAGATAGGATGGTGATTGCCTCTAGGGAGGGAGGAGGGAGTATTTTGACTGGGAAGAAATAGTCTGGGTTCTGGTGATCATTCTAATTCTTGACTTGGGTAGTGGCTACATATATGTTTGCTTTCTAATAGTTCATTAAGTTACACATTTATGTTTTATTCACATTTTATACATATATGCTATATTTCATAATTGTAAAAGGTTAAAACAAGAGCTACAACAAACTCTTCCTGCTGCAATTCCAACCCACTTTCCTACGTTCTTACCTCCATTTAAGTGTCTTACTTTTGCTTTCTTGCCTTGGGGCTAAACAATCTGAAAGCCTTTAACCCTTATTCAGAAATGATCCAGAAAAGCTTTAATCACAACTACTGTGCAGGGGAAGCTGTACCACTGCTCCCTCAATCTCTTTTGCAGAAGGGGGAAATTTCTTTCCTAAACAGAGGGTCAGTTTATGCCTTGAAATAACAACTGCTATTGTCATTTAATCCTAGCAGCTCAAGTAACTGCAGATGGTTTTATTCATAAACGTTTCATCTCCTCCCACTCAGTAATTGTTTTAACTCTCCCATGGTTGTGAGATGGTGACATAAATCTTTTTTTGTGTGCTGTTCTATGGTAGGGACTTGACAAATTGGATGAAGCTCCTTAAAAAATTAACCAAAAGTAATAGGTTTATTGCAGAAAATTTCAGAAAACACAATAAAAATCACCTCCATTGTTAATTCATTGGTGCCTACCCTTCCAGTGTTTTCCTTGTGCATAAAGGCACCACTAACACAGGTGGTCAGTTCTCTGCCAAGGCAGGAGCTCTTCCTATAAAGAACGGCTCACCAGAGGCCTGTGAGTGCCTCCTGACAGGCCGTGAACTGACCCCAAGTGCAATGTCTCACATGTACATACCACCGAGGCCTTCTTATTAATAACTGCCCAAATGACTAAGAGTTACCTCTAAAATGAAGTATTCATTAATAAAAAGCGTTTACATAATGTTACAGCTCTTTTAGAGTTTGTCTGGCAGATTTTCCAGTCGTCACTGGAGGAATCCACCCCACGAAAAAAGAAATTAAAAAACAAAAAAGTTTACAGAAGCCCCTCAACTCAGTATTCTCAGAAGTCTGCCTTCCATACAGCACCGCCAAGCTCCAGCTCCGCAGGTGCCTTGAGGGGGCTGCACTTCCCCAGTTACAGAGAAGGACACTGAGTTGGTTTTATTTCCCAATCTCTGCTATTCTTGCTTTTTAACTATAAATAACTGTTAGTCTAGCTTTGCAATTATTAATTTTGTTTGTTGTGGATCTTCTTATATAACCTTACTGCATGCAGGGATGCGTATTTACAACAGCAGTCTTTTCAGTCTATAATTTTCTATAGCCAGACTTTACGACACATATGTGCTACATCCGATTGGATCCTCTCCCTGCTGTAAAGCAGATGTCTGCAAACTCCCTCAGCATTTGCTCATACAGTGATACTGTAACAGACATGCACTGCCTGTGAATGTATGCTACTTAACTTGCAACATATTATCAATGAAAGTAATAAGTTACTGAGTTATTTTTACATACTAGGGTATTATTTTAGAATAGAATGTGCATATAAATAGACTCATGTTCTTATCCCAACTCTTAGGAAATACATAAAAAACAATTCGGAGTTGCCAGGCACAAATTTACTGCCCTCCTTTTTTTGTTGTTGTTTCTCTTCAATTCTTTATCATTGGGTCTTTTATTCCACTGAAACAGTTACTACCATATCAGCATTAATTTTCAAAATTTATGGTGTCCGCTCAGAATAAGCCTGCTTGCTTTGATAACCTGTAAGGCTTTTGGTAGAGAGAATAGGGAGTTGCCCAACTGGCTGAGTAGTACTCCGCATCTGTATTTATGCTGCTGTATGTCCTATTGATGTTAATGACCAGAACTGGCTTTTGAAGTGACAAGAAAGGCAGAAATGCCTGAGGTACTCTCCCCAGAAGAAACAGAGGTCTCCAAAAGCAGTTAAGTACCTGGATCCCAATCCAGTAAGTTACCCAGTAAGAAAGAAAAAAAGTGGTATTTATCAACTATCTGTATGCAACAGGCATTTTGTTATTATTATTGTGTTAGGTATTATTCATATAATAAAGATAAAAGATTAATAATAATGTCAAAACAATACTAATAATAATGGCTAACAGGTCTGTGTGAAATATTTTGCATGTCTATATAATCAGTAAATGTACATTTAGTCCCATAACCACCCTATAAGGTGACGCTATACAACTTGTGTCTTTATGCCTTAAATCCTGACACTCTTGGCCAGGTGCAGTGGCTCATGCCTGTAATCCTAGCACTTTGGGAGGCCAAGGTAAAAGGATCACCTGAGCTTGAGCTCAGACTGGGCAACATAGCAAAGCCCCATCTCTACAAAAAAACAGAAGAATAGCTGGCCGTGGTGGCGTGCACCTGTAGGCCCAGCTCCTCAGGAGGCTGAGGCACTTTAACTTGGGCAATAGAATAAGACTCTGTCTCAAAAAAACCCCCAAAACCTGACATTCTTAAACTGCTTCTCCTATGCCAGACTGGTCTTGCATGCAGCACCTGGCTGTCTTCTGGTCTGGTTCTGGCCAGCAAGGAGGCTCAGCTACTGACCTACATTTGGTTTCCACTTAGTTGGGACCCAAAGGGGAGACTTCCCATCTTCTTCTTCCCCAGGATCCAAACTATGAGTGGCTGGACTCAGTCCCAGCTTCCTGCAGGAGCAATTCTTCTGTAGGAAGCAGAGGGGATAGCTGTAGTCTTGTCCTAGGCAGGCTTGAAGGAAGCTTCTGCCCCCAAGTTCTGCAGTGATTCCTGGGGAAACAGGCTGATTTCACCAATAGCAAATTTGCTGAAAACCAATTTGCCAAATGGTCAATTCCCTGAATAACCAATTTACAAAACAACCAATATGCTG